CACCGACATTGTGGTTCAAATGACTTTGCAGTCCAGCGCATTAGCCCACATTACCACACCAGTACTGAAGCATGAGTAGCCCCTAAAGTTGAAAAGCTAGCTAATTAATCTAAACCTCTTTAAAAAAGAAAACGTAAAGCAGGTAAGCCAAAAGGAAAAATAGATCCTTACTTCTGAGAGTAATAAGTGAGAATAAAGAGGAATCACTTGGGTTCTCCTTTAAAAATATTGAAGTCGATTGGTTTCCAGAATAATATACATTAGAAACCAACTGGGTATGTCAATGTGCATATTCTACTTCATTTCTATTCATTTTCACATGCATGTTTTGAGTACCGCTCAAAGTACTATGGGTTAAGGGAGAACAAGGATCAGGATTAGGAAAACACTCTTTGCCCCCAAGGATCATAGACTCTCCCATGGGACTATGTCACAAACTTTTGGGAGTAGGTATCCTTCACACCATTCTGTCCTCTTAAAACTGATACTCTAACTTTGACTCATATGGTCAAAGCTCAAAATAAGTCATATTTGTACACCCTAACTTCTTGGTCATGCTTAACTTATTTAAGATCAAGAAGAGTCACTTTCAGAGAAAGAAATAAGTTTATTAACAAAGAGCCTTCAATAATCTGTACACAGACTATGGGCAATACCCCCAACACTGCCCAGTGAGTGGAGAAAGTCATACTGCAGAGAAAGTGAAGAATAAAAGCAGGTGCTGAGTCTCTCAGACCACAGCTGAATAAAGAGCACTGTCTGGGGTCCTGGCAGATTTCACTTCCCAGCTTCCCAGTTGGATCACCTTTGTACCCTTACAATGAGCTAGATTTTTAAAGTAGTTTGTGTTGCTTACAAGCAAAGACTCCTAAGAAATACAAGGGAAGATCACACAGAATTAAGTCTACTGCACAACACTGTTCCTGAAGTATCATGATGCTGAGTAGACAAGCATCTCACTTCATTCTTCTAAGGGTAAGTGAAATGCAAGAAAAAAGACTTGTTGACCAAAGAGGGGGATTTGAGTCCAGTCTCCACCCTTTGCTAGTCCTTTTAAGTCCATTTAGCGCACACAATGCCTGACATGAAGCAGATGTTCAATATATATTTGTGAAGGGAAAAAAGAAAGGAGACAAGCAGCCATCATATACTTGGTATACTTAACCTCTTCAAGTCAATTTTCATCTATAAAATTGGAGTAATAATGTCCACCTTGTATACCTCACAAGATCAGAATGCACACAACCACCTTAAGATTAAAAGTCAGGTTGATGGGCAGGTCAAATACGGAGCTACTTGGACTAATCAGTGATTATTTACGTAAAGCAGGGATTGCAAACTGCATCCCATAGGCAAAATCCAGGTCACCACCTATTTTGACATGGCCCTAGAGTTAGAATGGTATTTACAAATAAATACTTGCAATCAATTTGCTAATACAGAACACTAACTTTGAGACTCAATGCTATCCATCCCCTTAAAAAAAAAAAAAAAATCATTCTATTCTTCCAATTCACAGACTTATATAAGAACGTATTATACTCAACTGTTTACTCTTTGGTCCTTTACAGGAAAGTTTACGAATCCTGAGCTACAGGATGCAAAGGAAGTCTGCTCAGTCAGGTACAGGGCAACAAAAGCATTCTTCTAATTAAGCCCATGAATACTAGTGTGTTGTTTTGTAGCACATGGGAAAGTTTACAAAGACATATATTGTAATAGAGAAGACTAATCTACAGTAATGTGAGCGAAGGTCACATCAGACCTCCTGGAAGCTCAAATGCCCAATCCCCTCCCCTTCAAGCTCAGGTGGTGTAAATAGACAGGAAACCATCGAACAATACCATTAATATCACATGTAAGCAAAATTTTGCTGAAGACAATTCAAAAACGACTGCAGCAGTACATCAAGAGGGAGTTGCCAGAAAGTCAAGCCAGATTCAGAAGAGGACATGAAATGGGATATCACTGCTGGTGTCACACGGATCTTGACTTAAAGCAGCAAATACCAGAAACATGTCTCCTTGTATTTCACTGACTCTGCAAAGGCATTTAACTGTGTTTATCATAACAAACATAACATTGTGAAGAACGTGTATTCCAGAATACTCAATCGTGCTCATGAGGAACCTGTACATAAACCAAGAGGGAGTTGTTCAAACAGAACAAGTGATACTGAATGGTTTCAAATCAGAAAGGTGTGTGTCAAAGTTGTACCCTTTTACTATATTTATTCAGTCTGGTTTTCGGAGCAAATAATCTGAGAATATGCATTATATGTAGAAGAACGTGGCATCAGGATTGGAGAAAGACTCATTAACACTCTGAGATATGCAGATGATACAACATTATTTGCTGGAAGCAAAGGGGACTTCAAGTACTTACTGCAAAAGATCAAAGATGACAACTTTCAATTTGGACTACACCTCAATTTTATTGCTGTTGTTAAATGCTGTCAAGTCAGTTCCAACCCACAGCGACCCTTTACAGGTCAAGCAGCTGGTTGGCTTGAACCGTCAACCTTGCGGTTCAAACTGACCTTGCAGTCTAGCACATTAACCCACAGTGCCACACCAGGACTCCACACATCAACCTAGAGAAAACAAAAATTCTCACAACCAGACCAGTAAATAACATCATGACAAATGGAAATAAGACTGAAGATGTCAAAGACTTCAATGTGCTTGACTCCATAATTAATGCTCACGGAAGAAGTAGTCAAGGAATTAAACTATGCAGGCAAATCTGCTGCAAAAGATCTCTTTAAGTGTTAAAGAGTACAACATGATGTTAAGAACTAAATAAAGAGTATAAAGCAGAATTTTTCAGACTTGTTCTTCACTCACTGTTTGTTCTAATAAAACCTCACATGGAAAACCATATGAAATAGATTAAAGACAGAAATATCTATCTAAAGCAGGTTCCACAGAACTCTGGAACTCCTACAAGCAGAGTTTGAACTACACAGGTATGGACAACCTGGATCCCTTGGTGTTCCGGAGGAAAAGACAGAATGGTGGGCAGGAAGAACTTTGGAGATTTCATGGAAGAAGTGACATTTGGAAAGACAACAAGGTAAAAAGGAGAATGGTGCTTTTTGTGGGGACAATCCTGTGGGAATAACATCAGCAAGGACTCTGAGGTATATTTAGGGGTGGGACTGGGCCAGCTAGAGGTCTAGAGGGTTTCTATCAGGGAAGAGTGGGAAAGAGAAAGTTGGTATATGGGAATAAAATGAGAAGCTTTCATGATATAACTGGCTTGAGGGCTCACTGAAGTCATAGAAATCAAAACAAAACTTTTAGGAAAAGAACTTTCTAGAATTAACCATTTTACTATTCATTAAAATAATAAAATGTAAAATAAGTACTTTGGATATTTTAGTAGGCAAGGAAAAGAAGAGAGAAGGAGAAAGGTAACATTGTCACTATTACCCAAATTGTATCATCACTATTCGTTTTTTCACCCATTTCCTTTGTATGTTTACTACTTGTGTTTTCCTGTGACTATATCATGATATTCATGCCATTTTCATATCGTTTATTTATACTACTTACAAGCACTATAGGATAGAGGTTAGAAGCACAGACTCTGAATTTCAACTGACCTTGGCTTAAAACGTGGTTTAGTGACTTACTAGCTGTGGCAACTTGAGCAAATGAGTTAACCTCTCTATGTCTTTCCTCATCTATGTCAGGACAACAATAGTTAGGTAATGATTAAATGAGTTAACAAGTAAACATTCTTTAAATGGTACGTAGCACGTCGTAAGCACTCAATTAAATATTAGATACTCAACAGGGAGCTGCCAGAAAGTCTTGTGCTTTATTGTGCTTTATGGACTAAGCAAAGGCATTCAACTGTGTGGATCATAACAAGCTATGAATAACATTGGGAAGAAAGAAAATTGTGGAACACTTAATGGTGCTCATGAAGAACCTGTACACAGACCCAGAAGAAGTTGTTAGAACAAAACAAAGGGATACTGAATGGTTCAAAATCAAGATAGATGTGTACCAGGGTTGTATTATTTCAACATACTTATTCAAGCTGTATGCTGAGCAAGTAATTCAAGAAGCTGGATTCTATGAAGAAAAACATGACATCAGGATTGGAGGAAGACTTATTAACAATCAGCAATATTCAGATGATACAACCTTGCTTGCTGAAAACAAAGAAGACTTTAAGTACACATAATGAAGATCAATATGAATTGTCATTTAATATTAAAAAAAAAAAACATTTTCACAACTGGACCAATAAATAACATAATAAATGGAGAAAACATTAAGGTTGTCAAAGACTTCATTTTGCTTGGGTCCACAATCAATATTCACTATGGCAGGAGTCAAGAAATCAAGCAACGTATAGCATTATGCAAATCTACTGCAAAAGGCCTCTTAAAGTGTTTAAGACCAAAGATACCAGTTTGAGAACTAAGGTGCACCTGACCTAAGTCATGGTATTTGCAATCCCTCATATGCACATGAAAGTTGGACAGTGAATAAGGAAGACTGGAAAAGAATCGATGCGTTTTAACTATGCTGCTTGCTGATGGGACATATTGAAATACCATGGGTTTGCATTATATAGTAATTATTGTTGTTGTTGTTGTTCAGTTCCTTCAAGTTAATTCCAACTCACAGGGACCCTGTATGAGGTTTCTTAGGCTGTAAATCCTTAGGGAGAGGTTGGTGGGTTTAAACCACTGTCCATATGCTTATCCTAGAAAGTCCACTAGTGCACACCATATAATAATTAGTGAGGGTAATTATACAGTGAGGGTAATTAATTTTGTATATATAAGGAGGCTTAAAAAAAGTTCTTGGAAAAATGAAAATAAAAGATAATGAAAATTTTCCATAAACTTTTGATGCGACATCTTACATTTGTTAACTGTATTTCTTTCTTATTATATCTGTTCATGAGATTTAGGCAGTCCTATTGAAATTGCCATGAGTCCTTAAAATTATGTTGGTTAAAATTGGAAACAGGCTTACCTTCTGGGCACCCTGTTTTAAGAATGTACTGGCAAAAGTTTCCAAAATGCAGTTGAAAAATCCAGCCCCGGTGATAGAAATCCTGCCTCTTTGAATGAATTCCGTCCTACAAAAAAGAATAAAAGTCAACAGCACACATCTTTGATGTCTCTGTGTTTTTAAATATAGACTACACACATTTCAAGGAGCTCTGGTAGCGTAGTGGTTACGAATCGGGCTGCGAACCTTAAGGTCAGCGGTTCGAAACTACCAGCCGCTCCGCGGGAGAAAGATGAGGCTTTCTACTCCCGTAAAGATTTACACCCTCGGAAACCCTGTACAGGGTCGCTATGGGTCGGAACCGACTCGACGGCACTTAACAACAACAACAACAACACACACATTTCCAGCAGCATAATTACCATTTATAATCATCACAAAGAAAGTTCTATAATAATTAATTGCCTATTGCAACAAAAAGCTTTATTATACATATTACAGTCAATATGGTATTGTAATTAAGTACCGTTGAACCAGCTCCGAATCATAATGACCCTGTGTAGAGTTTCTGAGGAGCAGCTGGTGGGTTTGAACTACCAACTTTGTGGTTCACAGTCCAGTGTTGATCCTACAGCACCACACTAGGAGTCTATAGAGACTTACAGTCAATATAATATATGAAAAGTCATCTTCAAATTAAAGAATATTAATTTCATGCTGCAAAACTGATTTTCTGAAAATAAATCAGACAGAATTATGGGCTGAAGGACTTTGAAGAAGTCATTGAGACATTTTGTACCTTGGTTTCCTCACATACAAAGTAGAAATAATCATAACATCTCTCTTTTACAATTGTGGTGAAAAGCAAAGGAGTCAATGCACGCCCAACGCTTTGAACAGTTCCTAAACATAATGAGCATTCATTAAATGTTAGCCACTTGATGTAAATTTGGCAACCAATATAGGTGATAGTTGTACAACATGATTAATATAATTCACATCACTGCACTGAATGCATTAAAAGCATTAAATTGGCAAATACCATGTTATATATGAATGAGGGGGCTTCAGAAAGTTTACAGAAAAATTCCACTAACTTTTCATTGCATTTTTCCATGAACTTTTTGAAGCTTCCTCAAGTGTGTATACACACGCACACATGTACAAGGAGCCATGGTGGCAATGCAGGATAAGTACGGGACTGCTAACCACGAGGTCGGTGGTTCAATCCCACTAGTGGCTCTGTGGGAAAAAGAGGAGGCCGTTTGCTCCTGTAAACATTTACAGTCTCAGAAACCCTATATAGGGTCACTGTGAGTCGGAAGTGACTTGACGGCAGTGAGCTGTGTTTTTTTTTAATACATACACAATGGGGATTTTAAAAGTTGGTGGGAAAGTTCCCATTGTCTTTTTTTTATTTTTTTAATGCTTTATTGTGAATTATATGATAGTTTACATGGGAGAACAGTTTTACATTCATCCTATTGTATATCGTTTTATTGCCATGGTTACAATCCTCTCCATGCATCGTCAAACAACCAAAGGGTATACCCCTCACCCCCCACCCCCAATCCTCAGCATACAGCCTCTCTCCCTCTCTCCTCTCTGTGTCTAAAGTCCCCAGCTGTTCCGTCTCTCCACGTCATCATCTCTGCCTCCATCTCTGGCATCACTGCTCCTTTGGGTAGGGTTCTGCTCTCCGCTTTTCTCCCTTGATGGTCCCAGGGACCTCCGCTCCTAGACTGCAAAGTTAATCACTCCCCTCCTTACTACAAAACATCTACCTTTATATTTCCAACCCTCACAATCAGTCCTGAAAACAATTATTCACTATTGTATCACAAGAGAACTATCCGCATTTCATTTCATCAGCCCCGCCTAGACAGACTACTACTCAGTGGAGAGTCTACCTTCCTCCACACCCTCTGGATCTAGGTTCCCTCTTGAAAGCTTGTAAGCCAGTCACTTCTTGCCTTTGTAGCACCCCCAATCTTGGGTAGCCAACGTCCAAGTTGTCCATCCCTGTCCACTCTGTATGGAGGGGGTGGAACCACTGTCTTTTAATACTATTTTGCCATGAACTATTTGAAGCTCCCTCACTGCAGGTTAATGTGCTGGACTACAAGGTCAATGGTTCAAGCTCACCAGCCCCTCCTCAGAAAACCTATTCAGAGTTGCTATGGGTCGGAACCGACTTGATGGCACTTAACAACAACAACAATGTACAAAAAGAAAGTAAGAAAGAAAGAAGAAAAAGAAAAATCTGTTAGGCACTATTATAAAGAGAGAGAGAACTAGACAGACAAGACAGGGACTGGAAACATCAAGCCTGATTTTATTCCTTTAATCCCTGATTAGGGGTGGGGGGTGGGTAAAACAGATTAGACAGCTGTGTTGCAGTATCATTTCAAAGTTCTGCCAATATTAATTATATCCATTTCATAAAACAGAGTTGGATTACGCATAGCTTTGTCTTATTCTTTCATTTATTCAACACTGAAATGCACATTACAGGAGACAGACCACCCACCCCTTACACCTAGAGATGTAGAAAAGTGGTAAGGAAAATGTTTTCTTTGTTGAATAAATTTGATTGCAAAATCAATTGAATATGAATTAAGTAGTTCATATGCATTGACTAATTCAACCATCGCTCCTTGAGCTCATCAAGTGTAGCACTATGGTGAAAATGGAGGCATGTTGTTCAGTCGTCTTAACACTGTACTGCTACTGAAGGACCACAGTGAAAGAGATGGTCTCCATCCTCCAGGATCTAACTGAACAGTGGGGCAGAAGGGTGAGGTGGGAAGAGATCACATCAGCAAAAAGAGGCAAGCAGCACATATCCCAGCAGAGGAAACAACAGCCTGGCAAGGAAGCATGAGGAAACTGAGAATGCCTGTTCAAAGGAAGGGGCTTAACAGTTTTTTTCCCCATTGGAATTACCAGACCATAAAATGGACCAAAGATGCCAGGACAAGAAGCTGGGAGTGTTAAATAGAGACCAACCACAGAAATCTCAGGCTAGGGATTTTAGACTTTATCCTGAAGCCTTTGAGGTCACCAAGTAACAGGTGCAGATTATCTATTACACATGCACCCCTAACTAAAAGACTTATTGTTATTGTTGTGAAGTGCCGTTGAGTTGATTCCGACCCATAGCAACCCTGTATAGGGTTCCCAAGGAGTGACTGGTGAGCTTGAACCACCAACCTTGTAGTTCAAATGGCTTTGCAGTCTGGCGTATTAACCCACAGTGCCATACCAGGACTAGCCACTCCCTAATGCCTTCAGACAGTCCATTTTGTTGCCGAAAGTGTTCAACAAAGAAAACGTTTTCCCTTATCACTTCTCACTTCTCTGTATCTCTATGTGAAAGAGAATGGGCAGCCCATCTCCAATATATGTATGCGTGTGTACATGTGTGCATGTACATGTGCGTACACACATGCAAGAAGAAAGATATTCTGAGAAAATCCTGGATCCAACAAACTGTTATTTTGATCCAAAAGGTTATCATAAGCTCTTATTTAGATCTTCCCTTTAATGGCAGGAGCACCTCTCTACATTTTAGATCAAGCACTCAGTATAGGAAGACTTCAAACTCATCTGTCTCCCCTCCCACCTTACTTCTCCTCTTCCTCTTTTTTTTTTCTTTCTTCCCCTCCCTCTCTCAAACACACACACCACACATGTGCACACACAGTTATCCCAACTAATCTGACATAAATACCTTCAGTTTAGACAAAGCAACTTCCCCCTCTTAGATTTAAGCCTATTTAAAATGATTTGCTCGTGTAAAACTATATCCTAGTGACACTAATCTTTCCCGTCTTTATTCCGGATTAGTCAGAGCAGAATTATACTGTGATTTTCGTATTTAAAAATGAAAAGTTGAACAGTGTTACACTTTGGGGAGAGATGCATCAATCCCCAAGGCAAGTGTAGGTGAGAGATTAATAAGTGTCTCTCTTACATCATATTTTAACCAATATATCTTTCTGCCACTTTAGTGGGAAGTAAGTCCTCAAAAAAGCACTCTCTGGGTTTGCCCACACATCAGAATATAACGGTGTAGTAAAGCGGGATCATGGCCTTGCCATCAGAGAGATGAAAATTTATCCTATTATAGTTTCAGATTGTCAAAGAAGAAAATGTTGCACTCTCCCTCAATAACTCATTGATAAAGTACATCAGACAGTTCCTTCTTACCACACATAGCTAACTGAAATCCCTCATGCTAGGTTAAACTCCATCTCTGTTCCTGTGCAAAACGCAGCAGGTTATAGAACAATACACAGTTTGATTTCAGCTGATGAATTGAAAAAAGAAGAAGAAAGAAAGATGGATGGATGAGTGAATGAATAGATGGACAGATGTTCACATGAATGGAAGGTTGGATGAAAAAAGAGAGCTGATATATTAACAAAACCTCTTTTGAGCCTTAGAATTATAGGTGTTATTTATCTGTTCTTTTCAGGGGCTTACAAATTTTCTATAATAAATATGTATTACTTTGACCATCACCGAAAAATAATAAGGCCCTGAATAGCATTTTCATTTAAATATGAATGCTGTGTAACCAGACCCATAGTCAGCAAAGTGACATGCTAGCTTCTGGCTTGTCCATCCTTTAAAGTCTCATTATATCAACTCTTGATTTCCTTTTTCCAACCATAGGTAACCTTGGTTGTTTGTACCTTTTATCCTAAGACTTCCTCCCCACCTAGATATTTGAAGTGTTCAGTGTTTCACTCGAGATATAAGGATGATTCAAGTATTCCACCATCTGTCTTTCCTCTCTGTAAAGCCTCAAGGGAACAGTGCATCACATTTACGATGTTACACACACAAGGTCGCACATTCTCTTCAAGAAACTGTAGAGTAACAGTCTATGGCTAACATTTAGTTAAGTATATATCAGGTACCAGACAATTCAGTGTCAGATAGCAACTAGTGACGGTGGTGGTGTGGTGTTATGTATCACTGTATGACCTTTTATGGTTTTGACTTTTAGCATTATTTTCTCTCATTTGCACATGGATATACTGTGGTAAGGAAAAATACCTTGCCTAAAGTCGGAGAGCTTGACGTCATGCAGATTCACTACTGTTGTTACTAGGTGCC